CACAGCGACAGAGGACGCCACTACAGACGACCACGGGGACAGAGGACGCCACTACAGACGACCAAGTCGACAGAGGACGCCACTACAGACGACCACGGCTACAGAGGACGCCACTACAGACAACCACGGCTACAGAGGACGCCACTACAGACGACCACGGGGACAGAAGACGCCACTACAGACGACCACGTCGACAGAGGACGCCACTACAGACAACCACGGCTACAGAGGACGACACTACAGACGACCACGGTGACAGAGGACGCCACTACAGACGACCACGTTGACAGAGGACGCCACTACAGACGACCACGTCGACAGAGGACGCCACTACAGACGACCACGGGGACAGAGGACGCCACTACAGACGACCACGTCGACAGAGGACGCCACTACAGACGACCACGTCGACAGAGGACGCCACTACAGACGACCACGTCGACAGAGGACGCCACTACAGACGACCACGTCGACAGAGGACGCCACTAGAGACGACCACGTCGACAGAGGACGCCACTACAGACGACCACGTCGACAGAGGACGCCACTACAGACGACCACGTCGACAGAGGACGCCACTACAGACGACCACGGCAACAGAGGACGCCACTACAGACGACCACAGTGTGACAGAAGACACCACTACAGACGACCACGGCTACAGAGGACGCCACTACAGACGACCACGTCGACAGAGGACGCCACTACAGACGACCACGTCGACAGAGGACGCCACTACAGACGACCACGTCGACAGAGGACGCCACTACAGACGACCACGGCTACAGAGGACGCCACTACAAACGACCATGTTGACAGAGGACGCCACTACAGACGACCATGGCGACAGAGGACGCCACTACAGACGACCACAGCGACAGAGGACGCCACTACAGACGACCATGGCGACAGAGGACGCCACTACAGACAACCACGGCAACAGAGGACGCCTCTACAGACGACCACGGCGACAGAGGACGCCACTACAGACGACCACGGTGATAGAGGACGCCACTACAGACGACCACGGTGATAGAGGACGCCACTACAGACAACCACGGTGATAGAGGACGCCACTACAGACAACCACGGCAACAGAGGACGCCTCTACAGACGACCACGGCGACAGAGGACGCCACACAGACAACCACGGTGACAGAAGACGCCTCTACAGACGACCACGTTGACAGAAGACGCCACTACAGACAACCACGGCGACAGAGGACGCCACTACAGACGACCACGGTGACAGAAGACGCCACTACAGACGACCACGGCGACAGAGGACGCCACTACAGACAACCACGGCGACAGAGGACGCCTCTACAGACGACCACGGCGACAGAGGACGCCACTACAGACGACCACGGTGATAGAGGACGCCACTACAGACGACCACGGTGATAGAGGACGCCACTACAGACGACCACGGCGATAGAGGACGCCACTACAGACGACCACGGCGACAGAAGACGCCACTACAGACAACCACGGCGACAGAAGACGCCACTACGGACGACCACGGTGACAGAGGACGCCACTACAGACGACCACGGCAACAGACGACCACGGCGATAGAGGACGCCACTACAGGCGACCACGGTGACAGAAGACGCCACTACAGACGACCACGGTGACAGAGGACGCCACTACAGACGACCACGGTGACAGAAGACGCCACTACAGACGACCACGGTGACAGAGGACGCCACTACAGACGACCACGGTGACAGAAGACGCCACTACAGACGACCACGGCGACAGAGGACGCCACTACAGACGACCACGGTGACAGAGGACGCCACTACAGACGACCACGGTGACAGAAGACGCCACTACAGACGACCACGGCGACAGAGGACGCCACTACAGACGACCACGGCGACAGAAGACGCCACTACAGACGACCACGGCAACAGAGGACGCCACTACAGACGACCACGGTTAGTGGTTAGCAGTGGTTAGTGGTTAGTGGTTAGCAGTGGTTAGCAGTGGTTAGCAGTGGTTAGCAGCGGTTAGCAGTGGTTAGCAGTTATTCACTCCTCAATCACCGCCATTTACTCTACAGCGTCCTTTCCCGCCGTGTGTTTGGTTTCCATGGCGACCTGGCCTCCCGGGGTGACGGCGCCGGGCCAGAGCGCTGGAGATTGTATTATGGTCTATATTTACTGTACTAACACACACACTTCCCACAAGGCTCGGCTGCGATCTCCATGGAGACTGTCAAAGGAGGAGGAGAGAAAAAAGGAAAAAGGACAAGAGATAAAAATACGACATGGAAACAAACGGGAGGAGAGCGGCGAGCGGCGGGAGGAGAGCGGCGAGCGGCGAGCGGCGGGAGGAGAGCGGCGAGCGGCGAGCGGCGGGAGGAGAGCGGCGGGAGGAGAGCGGCGAGCGGCGGGAGGAGAGCGGCGGGAGGAGAGCGGCGAGAATGGATCGTCTGGTTAAAGAGAGTGGAGCAATGAAATCTACTCAGAAGACTCTGGGGCATGGATTAAAGATGAAGATGTATTGGTCTCACAGCAGAGAAATGTCAGTGTTGCATCGCCACGTACAGTAGAAAGAGAACACATGACCATAACTCTAAACTAAAATAACATCTCTAACTTTACAGATTCACACATGTATGTTTGAGACACCCTTTCCGTGCTTCCGCTTCATCCAACCCCTGGTCAGACCATGTGTGCGAGGTACCAGCAGAGGTACCAGCAGAGGTACCAGCAGAACCACGACAGCCACGACTATTGTTACAACATTCTCTGTAGAAAGTCAGAATGATTTCCCCGACGACCTTTGAACCTGAAGCGGTCGCTTCCTAATTGCCTGGTGTGTGGTCGATACCTCCTTCTCACTCTGTACTAATCATTTATCAATAAACAAATCAATTACAATCTCATTATTCTGTCATTTACAGAAAACACTGTCGAGAATCCTCTACTTTCAGTCTGTGGTTTTACGTCTGTGCTTTTACATCTGTGCTTTTACGACTGTGGTTTTACGTCTGTGCTTTTACGTCTGTGCTTTTACGTCTGTGCTTTTACGTCTGTGCTTTTACGTCTGTGCTTTTACGTCTGTGCTTTTACGTCTGTGCTTTTACGTCTGTGCTTTTACGTCTGTTGTTTTACGACTGTGGTTTTACGACTGTGGTTTTACGACTGTGGTTTTACGTCTGTGGTTTTACGTCTGTGGTTTTACGTCTGGTTTTACGTCTGGTTTTACGTCTGTGGTTTTACGTCTGTGGTTTTACGTCTGGTTTTACGTCTGTGGTTTTACGTCTGTGGTTTTACGTCTGGTTTTACGACTGTGCTTTTACGTCTGTGCTTTTACGTCTGTGGTTTTACGTCTGTGGTTTTACGTCTGTGGTTTTACGTCTGTGGTTTTACGTCTGTGGTTTTACGTCTGTGGTTTTACGTCTGTGGTTTTACGACTGTGGTTTTAAGTCTGTGGTTTTACGTCTGTGGTTTTAAGTCTGTGGTTTTACGTCTGTGGTTTTACGTCTGTGGTTTTACGTCTGTGCTTTTACGTCTGTGCTTTTACGTCTGTGGTTTTACGTCTGTGGTTTTACGCCTGTGGCTTTACGACTGTGGTTTTACGTCTGGTTTTACGTCTGTGGTTTTACGTCTGTGGTTTTACGTCTGTGCTTTTACGTCTGTGGTTTTACGACTGTGGTTTTACGTCTGTGGTTTTTACGTCTGTGCTTTTACGTCGGTGTTTTACGTCTGTGGTTTTACGTCTGTGGTTTTACGTCTGTGGTTTTACGTCTGGTTTTACGACTGTGCTTTTACGTCTGTGCTTTTACGTCTGTGGTTTTACGTCTGTGGTTTTACGTCTGTGGTTTTACGTCTGTGGTTTTACGTCTGTGGTTTTACGTCTGTGGTTTTACGTCTGTGGTTTTACGTCTGTGGTTTTACGACTGTGGTTTTACGACTGTGGTTTTAAGTCTGTGGTTTTACGTCTGTGGTTTTACGTCTGTGGTTTTACGTCTGTGCTTTTACGTCTGTGCTTTTACGTCTGTGGTTTTACGTCTGTGGTTTTACGTCTGTGGTTTTACGACTGTGGTTTTACGACTGTGGTTTTACTCTGTGGTTTTACGTCTGTGGTTTTACGTCTGCTTTTACGTCTGTGCTTTTACGTCTGTGGTTTTACGTCTGTGGTTTTACGTCTGTGGTTTTACGTCTGTGGTTTTACGTCTGTGGTTTTACGTCTGTGGTTTTACGTCTGTGGTTTTACGTCTGTGGTTTTACGTCTGTGGTTTTACGTCTGTGCTTTTACGTCTGCTTTTACGTCTGTGCTTTTACGTCTGTGCTTTTACGTCTGTGCTTTTACGTCTGTGGTTTTACGTCTGTGGTTTTACGTCTGTGGTTTTACGTCTGTGCTTTTACGTCTGTGCTTTTACGTCTGTGGTTTTACGCCTGTGGTTTTACGACTGTGGTTTTACGACTGTGGTTTTACGTCTGGTTTTACGTCTGTGGTTTTACGTCTGTGCTTTTACGTCTGTGGTTTTACGACTGTGGTTTTACGTCTGTGGTTTTACGTCTGTGCTTTTACGTCGGTGTTTTACGTCTGTGGTTTTACGTCTGTGGTTTTACGACTGTGCCGCAGCAGAAGGAAAAATAATCCAGACTTATGTGGAATTTAGTGAAGCATCTTCGAGTCTCCAAACACACAAGTTTATATTATTATTATCATAGACACTACAGGTTTATATTATTATTATCATAGACACTACAAGTTTTATATTATTATTATATAGTTTTATATTATTATTATCATAGACACTACAGGTTTATATTATTATTATCATAGACACTATAAGTTTATATTATTATTATCATAGACACTACAGGTTTATATTATTATTATCATAGACACTATAAGTTTGTATTATTATTATCATAGACACTACAGGTTTATATTATTATTATCATAGACACTACAAGTTTATATTATTATTATATAGTTTATATTATTATTATCATAGACACTACAGGTTTATATTATTATTATCATAGACACTATAAGTTTATATTATTATTATCATAGACACTACAGGTTTATATTATTATTATCATAGACACTATAAGTTTATATTATTATTATCATAGACACTACAGGTTTATATTATTATTATCATAGACACTACAGGTTTATATTATTATTATCATAGACACTATAAGTTTATATTATTATTATCATAGACACTAGAGGTTTATATTATTATTATCATAGACACTATAAGTTTATATTATTATTATCATAGACACTACAAGTTTATATTATTATTATCATAGACACTACAGGTTTATATTATTATTATCATAGACACTACAGGTTTATATTATTATTATCATAGACACTATAAGTTTATATTATTATTATCATACACTACAAGTTTATATTATTATTATCATAGACACTACAGGTTTATATTATTATTATCATAGACACTACAAGTTTTATATTATTATTATCATAGACACTACAGGTTTATATTATTATTATCATAGACACTACAGGTTTATATTATTATTATCATAGACACTACAGGTTTATATTATTATTATCATAGACACTATAAGTTTATATTATTATTATCATAGACACTATAAGTTTATATTATTATTATCATAGACACTACAGGTTTATATTATTATTATCATAGACACTATAAGTTTATATTATTATTATCATAGACACTACAAGTTTATATTATTATTATCATAGACACTACAGGTTTATATTATTATTATCATAGACACTACAGGTTTATATTATTATTATCATAGACACTACAGGTTTATATTATTATTATCATAGACACTACAGGTTTATATTATTATTATCATAGACACTACAAGTTTATATTATTATTATCATAGACACTACAAGTTTATATTATTATTATCATAGACACTACAAGTTTATATTATTATTATATAGTTTATATTATTATTATCATAGACACTATAAGTTTATATTATTATTATCATAGACACTACAAGTTTATATTATTATTATCATAGACACTATAAGTTTATATTATTATTATCATAGACACTACAGGTTTATATTATTATTATATAGTTTATATTATTATCATAGACACTACAAGTTTATATTATTATTATCATAGACACTACAAGTTTATATTATTATTATATAGTTTATATTATTATTATCATAGACACTATAAGTTTATATTATTATTATCATAGACACTATAAGTTTATATTATTATTATCATAGACACTACAGGTTTATATTATTATTATATAGTTTATATTATTATCATAGACACTACAAGTTTATATTATTATTATCATAGACACTATAAGTTTATATTATTATTATCATAGACACTATAAGTTTATATTATTATTATCATAGACACTATAAGTTTATATTATTATTATCATAGACACTATAGGTTTATATTATTATTATCATAGACACTACAGGTTTATATTATTATTATATAGTTTATATTATTATCATAGACACTACAAGTTTATATTATTATTATCATAGACACTACAAGTTTATATTATTATTATCATAGACACTACAAGTTTATATTATTATTATCATAGACACTACAAGTTTATATTATTATATTATTATTATATAGTTTATATTATTATATTATTATTATATAGTTTATATTATTATTATCATAGACACTGTTATAGAAATCTTACTGGGATTATAAATCAATTTAACTTAAGAATGAATCTAATGATGAAATGGGATAGCTGGGACTAAGTTTAAAGATTGAAACTAACTAAGCTGTTTTTCCCTAGAGACGCGAGGCCAGTGACGGGGTGGATGCAGATACGAGGTTGATACCGGGGGGCCAGAAGAGCAGGCTCACCGGTCATAGTGACAATTCTTCCTAATATCAGAGTAATATCAGAGTCTATCAGGGTTGTTGTTATAGCGACGTCAGAAGAGAGGGGGGTTTGGGCCATAGCTGCCATCTAATCTCGGACTCAGAGGCGCCATAGATAGACTCGTTTGTGTATTCCATCCTATAAATGAGAGGGAGAATTGAGCACTGTCAGCAGGTCTATCCGGGACCTGCCACGCGGTTGCACGGTTGTATATCCTGTATATGTATACATTTACTGAGATAATAAACCACACTTTGATTGGACTACAGCTCTTGTTGTTTATTTTATATTTAATATTGTGTATTTTCACTCCTCAGAAATTCTATAACAATTTGGCGTCAACGAACAGTCCCATCGTCTGGAGGGGCTTCGCCGCGGACCCGGCCCAGGAAGGGTGGCCTCCCCAGCCTCTGGCATGGTCTTCTCCTCGCGTGTTTGAGCTACAGAAGATTCCTGGCGCCGGGCCGAGGCGATGCCGTCCAGCGCATGGTTATCAAACGGACAAACGTAAACAACCAGTGTGGTAAGAGCTGTATTCTTTCAAACTGTCACAAGAAC